ATTCGACCGATGCCGATCGACGCATCCATTTATGGTGGAGGCATTCTGTCTGGCGACTCTGGCACCGAGCACGCTGCAAAAAGAGCTCGCCTTGCAAAGGCTGAGGCCGACAAGCAGCGATTGACCAAGCTCGCAGTGCAGGGTTCGCGCGGAATGAGGTTCATGAACGACACCTATGACTTCGCCGAGATGACTGGCATTACCCTGTATGATTACTGGAACGAATGCCCCTCGCAAGAGGAGGCCGACCAGTACATCGAAGTGTTCCAAAAAGACATGACACCAGGCCTACACTACCCGAGACGTGATCACAAAATGGTTACATTCGTCACTGGACTCATCAGAGGAAACTTCGAAAACAAGGGTAATCAATTTAAACTGCGATCGTGGAGCGGGCCATGGGTACTAGCCATGGAAGTGCTTGAGGTTGCTAATCGATGCAGACCTGGAAGCGACATTGGTTTAGGAAGCCTCCTCGACATGATCGCTACCGACAACAAACAGCGCCTTATGTTTCGCGGACCAATGGACAGTGCTGCCGATGCAATTGGGCAACCGGCTTTTCCGGTCTACGTCGGTTGTACGCAAGGCCACTCTAGCAATCTGCAGCTCGACAATGCCTCTATTGCAAAGGCATATCTTACGCTGCAGCGTTCTGAAGAGCTGGCTAATGCCGCCCGAGAGGGCAGGCCGTTGATCCCGATTGACAAGGCGCCGCCCAGGCTCTATCACCGCACAACACATGATGCGGCGTATGCAATTCTGGAAGATCGTTTGTTGCCGGGTTTTGGGGGTTCTGAGAAGGCGCATTGCTATTTTGCGCCGCTGCCGCTCGAAGAGCAGAAGGCACGTTCAGGACTCCGTGCAAGCGCACCAATCGAGATCGTCTTTGACACTCGGGAGGTCCTCGAAGCTGCTTGCGATCTATTCGTTACGGAATCTGATGGCATATTGTGTTCCGAAGCAGTGCCCGGATCAACAATCCTGTTCATCAACGATACTCAACGCGATGTCGTACTCTGGTCCCGTGCAGGAGGCGCTGTACCTCCTGACGAAGAGCAGGGAGAAAGCCCAGCTAACGCTGAGGCCGGCATCGATATCGTTCTTGATGAACCCGAGCCCGAGGAGACGACTCAGGACAATTTCGCACCGCCTATTGATGAAGAACATGGTACCCTTCCAGCTGAGGAAACATCCCTACCGCCCATTCCAGATGTCGCTGATGTGCTTGAGGGATCGTTGGCTATCACCGATGCCCCTGCAAAGGCTGACGACGATGAAGCTCCTGATGATGAGCAAATGCCCTCCGTAGAGGAGAGGCCGCTTGTTGAACCAGGCACCATCATTGCACAGCCGGGTCCTCCAATCAGGACTGTGTACATCGGTGACGGAATGGCGACAACGGTGACGCTGGATGCTGAGGGTACACCAGTTGAAGCAATCCAGGAGCCGGTGGGAAGGCCAGAACCAGTACTTTATGCTGGTAGTGAGACCAAGCCATCCGCCGCGTTTTTGGAGAAGATCAAATGCTACCACTGCAAAGCTGAGTGTCTTCAAGGCCAAAGGATTTGCTCTCAATGCGGAGGGCCAGTTCGACCAGGTCAATTGAAGGCACAGGGCAGACGGACGCTGTTGGCACGTGGGCGTGAAGCTCTGCTTCAGGAGATGGGTGATGCCGCTGAACGAGTGGGAGTGAGGCCAAGCCTTCAAAGCGCATCGAAAGATGTCGCCGGCCGTGGCATGAACTCCTTAGAAGGCGAGGTTATTCGGAAAGCCAAAGTGGCAAAGCAGAGAGCCGTGAAAAAGGGCTACACTGATTGCGTAGCGAGGTTCAATCATGACAATGAATACGCAATTTCAATGGCCAAAGAGGGATACACACGCAGAACGATCCGTGCCCTCGACTGCCTCTGCTTCGCCTACCTTCCGAACCCTGGCCGCACTCGATCGCAACGCATGCTGGCTATTGGATCCTCCAGAGCGGCGAGTACCACGCACCAGATCCGCACGGACGAGGTTCCAGAGTGTCGTATCGTTTTCTTTACCGGAGACGATGGCATTGGCGGCAAGTTGTGCGCAGCGGGACTAACGTCCACGCCGGAGGATACGCCAGTAGCATTTACTTGGTACGGAGCCATCCTTTCGTTCCAGGATTTCGCTCACAACATCGCCAGGCAAAAGGGGGGCATCCGTCTACAGACTTTTGGCCACGGCAAGGTGGATCTTCTCAACTACGATCCCGCTGCAGTGGGTGCGGACCTACAGACCGTTTTGGCAAAGGACCTACCCTTCATGGTGGAGACGGTTGATGAAACCATCAAAAAGGCCAATCAAAGTCGTGCTGCCCAGCCGAAGTATGCCCAGCAGCATCCGCCAGGTGGTGGCAAGGGCTCTACATATGCCCGAGCAGCAGAGAAGGGAAAAGGCAAAAGCCCGGCTAACGCCGAGGCCGCCGATCGCACCAACCGCGACTGGGACTGGGATAATCAATCCTGGTGGCAGAATTGGTCTTCGTCATCCTGGGGATCATGGCGCGGCCAGAACTGGGACAACCAGGACTGGCGTGAGTGGCGCAATCGCGGATGGCGTTGGAACTGATAAGCCGACCCAGTAGTCTGATTCTTTCGAGCAAGAGGGATGTTCACCCGGCCTGTGATATTTTTCAAGTGGCTGTGCGGCGAACTCCTATCGTCCTTGCTCCACGCTGAAACCAGCGTCTTGCATTTGAAGAAAAGCTTGCATGCAGTTTTCGCACCCTTCCTCGAGGCACACGATAGTCACATGTACTTTTGCTGATACAACTGATGACGCGGGAGGCAACTCCACGCCGATCGTCGAACTCCGAGCCGAAGCGCTCTTCCACCTGCAGGCGAAGGTATGCTGTGTTTTTGAATGCAGTGACCGTGCCTTTAGGTGAGGGGGGTGTAGTTTTGCATCGCAGCTTGCGTAGGAGTTTGTATGGTCGTGTACAGTCATCATGTTGTGTACTATATACCGCTGACTATTGTGCCCAAGCCCTCTGAGTAAAAGGTTAGCGCGACCGCTCATGGCTTAACGGTTTTGGTGTATTCTATAGGGTTCTGGGTTTGGGTATTCAGGATTTCGGGCGCAGGGCTTTGGCTTCGGGTTTTGGGCGAAGGCCTGAAATTTTGTACCTTCGTGCTTTTAGGATTTGGGTTTTGGGGCAAGGTTCTTGGTTCACGGGTTGGAGTTTTGTTATTTTGGCGCTTAGGGTTTTGGGTTTCGGGCTTAGGTTTTTCGGTGTTTGGGGTTTGGGTTTCGGGTACATAAAGGTTTTTGGGGTTTGGGGGTGAGGGGCTTAGGTTTCGGTTTCGGGCTTAGGGTTTTTGGGTTTCGGGCTTAGGGTTTTGGGATTGGGGCTTGGCTCTCACAGGGTTTTGGTGTTTACGGCTTAGAGTTTTGTGTTTGGGCTTAGGGTGTTTTGGGTTTTTTTTGGGTTTGTCTGCGGTATCTCCTGAATGCAAAAGCCGCCGATGCTGTCGCTCAAGACTTGAGGGCGCATGTTAGGTCCATGGGCAGCTCCCTTGCTGTTTGAATTCCGGCAGTGGTTGTCTGCCTTCAGCGGGTCGGCCTGTGCTGGCACACCTTGGGGAGCGATCCTCCTACTGGTGCTGCTGGCCTTCTTGGGCGGTTGCTGCTGCGGTGCGATTTTCAGCTGCCTTGTGATATCAAACAGGTGCAGGCGTTTGCTGCACGAACTGCTTCAGACCTATCTGCTTGCCTTCCACCGGAAGCGCGCGCTCACGATACGCGAGTGATTGAGCAAGCCGGAGACATCATCCACAGCATCCAGACCACTCTCGGGAGCAACTCTGACTGACCAAGGAAGGGTATGTGCCTACTCCTCAGACCAAGAGTGGGTCGTTCTCGATTCTTTCACCTGTTAGCAGCTCGGACCGGAACGCTCAAAGACAGAAGCTCAGTGTCTGGCAAATCCCCTTCCTTGGAAAAGAAACCGACGAGTTTGGTAGCTTGCATCAGTTGCTTAGAGGAGCATGTCGCGTGCAGTCGATGTGGAACATATTGCATCAGCAGAAACGCATGTTGGTCTTGGCTTGAGTTTGAACACGATTTCATGTCGAGGAAACTGAGATTGGAAATTTCCTTTGAAAGGTTTTTATACGGAAAATAAGGTAATCGTGCTGCAAGTACAAACCTTTATTTTCGGGAGAAAAATTTTCGAATCTTCATGATGAGAAAATTTTGGCTTACAGAACTTGCACATCCTGAAGTGGGGAGTGGAAAAATTTTTCTTGCCCACCCACCCACGCCTCAGGAGCAGATGGCCCAGACTTTGACGGACCTTCTCAGTTTGCCTGAGGTGTGGATATGTGTTGCAGATTGCCTGCGAGTCAGGCGTCAGCGACGCCTGAGAGTTGCCTGTCACTTGTTCCGCGAACGCTTCAGGCAGTTGTTTCAGGCAAGCGGCTACACGGACAGCGAAGACTACAGTCTCGAGGATGACGAAGATCTTTGAGACTCTCGCGCCTGGCGCCGAGTCCTTCCCTTTCTACCTTCTTGTCTTGCTCCGACAGGACGTCCGCTAAGGCTATTCTGAGAGGTAGCAAGGTTGCAGTCAGTTTCACCAGAGTATCAATCGGGTCGTTCTCGATTCTTTCACCTGTTAGCAGCTCGGACCGGAACGCTCAAAGACAGAAGCTCAGTGTCTGGCAAATCCCCTTCCTTGGAAAAGAAACCGACGAGTTTGGTAGCTTGCATCAGTTGCTTAGAGGAGCATGTCGCGTGCAGTCGATGTGGAACATATTGCATCAGCAGAAACGCATGTTGGTCTTGGCTTGAGTTTGAACACGATTTCATGTCGAGGAAACTGAGATTGGAAATTTCCTTTGAAAGATTTTTATACGGAAAATAAGAGGATTGTCGTCAACAAGCCTGGTGCGGCACAGCCCATCCTCCTTGGAGCCAACAGTCTTCCTTTCGGTGCAGTTGGTTCAGTTGCTGGATTTCTCAGGCTGTCAATGGCTATTTGGGCCATTGGTCTGGTGGGGCTAGAGCTGTGCTGGTCCGCTTATGACGATGACTTTCCAACTGTCACAAGCGAGCCGCTTCTTGAGAATACGAGCTCCTGTGTTGACCGCATGTTTACACTCATTGGGCTTGACTATGCTACCGAGGGCAAGAAAGCTCCACAGTTTGCAAGGTCTTTCGCGGCACTTGGAGTTCGGGTGGATTTGCAACGATCTCAGTGCGGCTCGATTGTTGTCGGGCACACCGACGCTCGGAAGGAGGAGTTAACCGCGTGCATCGACTCCATTCTTGCGGACGGCAGCATGACCGCAAAGGAGGCGGAGAAGCTCAGAGGACGACTCGTCTTCTTCGAAGGATTCACTTTGGGGTAGAGTTGCTCAAGTGGCTGTCAAGCATGTGGGTCGCCATGCTCAAGGCTCGAGTGGTTCTGTGAAGCTGTCTGCTGATGTCAAGTGGGCTCTGTGCATGATTAACAGACGCATCTGTCATGCCCTGCCAGTGACTATATCGGCAAAGGCACTGCAGACCACTTGTGTCTTCACCGACGGCGCTTTCGAGCAAGGTCGAGGCTCTTTTGGAGGAGTTCTGGTCTCTCCTCACGGTAGGTGTGTTTCTTACTTTGCAGGGGAAGTGAGCCGTGAGGCGATGCATCATTTGCTTGCGTCGTCGACCCATCCTATCTACGAGCTTGAGCTTCTGCCAGTGCTTATCGCGACGCGGGTTTGGGGAAGATTGTCCTCTCACCAGCAAACCGTTTACTATCTAGACAACGAGCCAGCACGAATTGGGATGATCAAGGGGGCGGGTGGCACTGCCATCGCGGACCTTATCATTTCCAAGGCCACTGCCCTTGAGTGTGAGCTAGGCCAGCACGCCTGGTATGCTCGTGTTCCATCGCATTCCAACATCGCTGATGATCCGACTCCGCGGCACCCGTGGCGAACCCTGGAGACATGCCTGCAACAACTGGGTCAATGGGGAGAGTGGTCTCCCGCGGCCCACAGAAATGTGGCAAAGTGGCACCGAAGATGCTCGTCCGAGCAGGCTGGAGATGCGCCAGATGTTACAAGATCAAGAGCCAATGTGAGCTCACTGGATGCTGGCCCGACTTCGAGCGGCAGTAAAGTAGATCGTTGCATCCAGCAGCCAAGGCGGCAAAATCAGGACCGAACGCAGCTGCATGTTTTAGCTCGTCTGCTTGGACCTTTCGCCTTGCACTTCAGTCTGCACACTCCAGTCCTGAGCCTGGCGACTGCTGTCGCAAATCTCATCAAGCACTGGTACTGTGTTCTCTGTTTGATAGCGAGCTACATATATCCGACCAGCCGGAGCCCCAGCCCGGACCTAAGCCCACACGAAGAAACCTGCACACATAACAGATATGTTTCGAGCTGCCCCGGTCCCAAATCCGGGGACAACTTCCCTAGAACCAAACCAAGTAGAGTCCAGGTACTACATTGGCATCGGCGACTGCTCTTCGGGGCTCTCGTCTTAGCTCAACTTCAGGTAGCAAGGGGAGTTGGAGAATCGAGGGTTGAGACCCACACCAGCGGGGTCTCGGGAACGGGATGTTCACAACCAGGTCCTACAACACCGACCCGTGAAGGCGCTGGCACAGCTACTCCATACAATGCCCGATCCCCAGATGCTCTTGTGTACCCGTGGAGTGCTAAAAGAGCATATCGTCGAGCTCGCGCACGAGCTGCTAAAGGCCCTACCATGTACAGAGGTTCCCTGTGCAGTGCCAGTGAGCTGCAAGCACAGTACGGCAAACCACTGCCCCCGCGCGAGCCCAGATCTACTTCGGCAGCACAGCAAGGGAGCCGTGGTCGGCCCCGTACCACCGCCAGGCACCCGGCCACTCGGGTTCAGGTTCTTACTTTCAATGTGTCTGGCTTGTCCAGCGCAATGTGGCAGGAATTTCAGGCCTGGCTCAGTACTGCTGAAGCACTGCGATTTGACCTTATCCTCCTCCAGGAGACTCACTGGACCAGCTGGTCAGACTTCACCTCAGGAAGGTGGGACTGTGTTGGCACACCCATTGCAGACAAAGACAAATGCTCAGGTCTAGCGACACTTGTGCACTCGAGGCTGGGCCCCTCCGAAGCTATACAGTGCAAAACATACCTGAAGGGACGGGTCCATCACACCAGGATCCACCAGCAATTCGGAGCAATAGACGTGATAAACGTCTATCAGCACGTCTGGCGCAGCCACCACACAACGGCCCAGAACCAAGCAGCCAGGACCTCAGTGTATCGTGCGATTGGGCAAGCCCTAGGTTCCTGCCCCATGCGACACACATGCATTCTAGGCGGGGACTTCAATGCAGAGGTTAGTGAACTCACACCACATGTTGGCAGAGCTCTCCTGAAGAAGAGGGGGCACGATGGAGACAAAGACGCAGGCGAAGGCCTTCCGGAGCTCTTGCAAACCCACGGGCTCTGTCTCCTGAACACTTGGCACGGAAGGAACAAGGCCACCAACCTTACAAGTGGGGATCTCAGCAAGATAGACTACGTTGCCGTTCGAGTACAATGGGCAGACCGACTGGCAAAGCAGAGCGACTCTCTACCAGCATGCCCCGTCGGAGCCTGGAAAGCCAATCGACACTTCCCCGTACAGGCCTCCATTAAACTGGTGTCACCTTGGCACCTGATTCGTCAGCCGAAGCCCGCCGGTTCACTGATTGACAAAGCTGCAATGCAAGATTCGATCGCCAGGCAGGACACCCGGGCCCAACACCTCCGATCTCAGGTCGCACACGACTTGTCTCAAATACCCAGTACATTGAGCCCCGGTGAGCTTACAGCCAAGGTGGACAGTATTCTGATTCGAAGAGCTGAGCAGATCCCCCAATTTACTCTTTTAACCAAAGAGCTGTGGAGTCTTTACAGGCCGTATCGGTCCATAGGCAGATGCAATAGGCAAAACATCCTTCGAAAATGGAGATTGTGGACCCAGTTTAAGCGAGCATCCAAACAGCTGCGGGACCGCGCCAAGACGATCAAACGACAGAAGATCCAAGACATTATGTGTGAACTGGAGCAGGCTGCCAAGCGAGGGGACCAAGGAAGCACCTATGCTGCCGTTCGCAGACTGGCCGCCTGGAAACCAGTGGCAAAGCCCAGCATCCGTGGGCCGTCAGGCGAGCTCCTCACGCCAACACTCCAGTTACAGGCCCTTACGGTGCACGCCCAGGACAAATTCTGCAAGGGCACTGACTACCGACCAACAGGTGTGCTCCTGGAGGGTCTCGCCATCACGAGTGATCAACTTCAGTCTGCCCTTAGCAGGCTGCCGATTCGGAAGGCCGCGCCGGCGGGAGCGGCACCGTCTGCTTTATGGAAAAACAGCGCCGAGGACCTAGCCGAGACCTTCCTTTACCCGGTCACCCACATGTGGAGCTCAGGTCAAACTGGAAGTGCACCCTCCATCTGGAAAGACGCCAACATGGTCTGGATGCCGAAGCCCAATAAGGATCCCAGCCTGTTAGCCAATCTTAGACCCATTGGATTGGTACACCCCATGGGCAAATCCATCTGCACCCTGCTTAGGTCCCGACTGCTGCCCGTCCTCACACAGGCATTGATCACACGCCCGCAGTTTGCGTATGCCAAAGGCAGATCCACCCTGGACGCCTTGTTGCGAGCACATGGGCACCTCACTCGGACACGCCAGGAGATCGAAGCTCAGCGCACATCCATTTATGCAAGACATTCAGGCCAGGAGCCTAAATCTTGCTTTGGAGGCATTTGCTTCAGCTTAGATCTTAAAGGTGCCTTTGATGCGGTTCCGAGGCACAGGTTGGCCGAGAGTCTGTTCAGACTGCAGGTGGAGCCGGATCTAGTACATCTCATCATGCAACAACAGCACCAGTCACAGTATTGGACAAGGATCGGAGCCGATACCCGGCCCGTAATGCCCACCCAAGGCATAAAGCAAGGCTGCAACATCGCGCCCTATTTGTTCATTGCGTACACCATCCTGCTCATTGATAAAATCTGTGAGAGCACACCAGACCGATGGACTGAGGACGGACTCACCTGGTACGCGGACGATGCCTTCGCCGCCTGGACGATCCAAGATGCTGCAAGCCTTCGCCAGGCGCTCGGGGACATCCAGCTTATTATAGCAGTCCTTGAGGAACACGGCATGGCGATCGAGCCAAGCAAATGCGCTGTACTGTACAACCTGCAAGGCAAGGAAGTCGAGAAAATCCTCAGGCATGCTAAGGTGAGACGCCAAGAGCAAACATACCTTCTGGCCCGGGAGTCTCCAGAAACATTAGTGCCAATCAAGAAACAACATGAATACCTAGGCACGATCCTGGCCTACAGAGATCCACAGACACTTACCTTGCATCATCGGCTTGGTAAGGCCCGGGGACAGTATGCATTGCTGCGGAAAACACTTCATGCCAAGAGGCTTGTCACATGCAAACACCGTTATCGCATATGGAAGGCAGGCGTCCAGGCCAGCGCATGCTACGGGTTGCTGGCCACCGGCCTCACCGTCACAGGCCGTACACAACTTCTCGCCATGTCGGCGAGGCAGCTTCGCTCTATCGCAGGTCGCCCAGCACATTTAACGCACGAATCCAACGCTGAGATTAGGAGCCTGTTCGACTGTGTCGAGTGGACCGAAGATCTGCTCACGTTGGCTAAGAACCGGCTCGCCGAGCTTCGCACACTGCAGGAGACACAACCCGAGAACATTGTCACCAGGCCCCAGGCACTGCAACAGCTGACACATGCCATGGAAACCTTCCAGCAGGTGATTCCGATCGAGCGGCCCAAGCAGGACGGCGTGGAGGGTATAGGCGTGCCGTGTCCGGTTTGTGGGGTTTACTTTGATAATCAGACCAGCGTTCGCAAGCACCTTAGGCGAAAACACCCCGAACACCAGAGGCCAGAAATCAAGTTCGACCCGGCTGAACATGCCATTGGAGGCCTGCCGCAGTGTGCCGGTTGCAAGCACAGGTTCCAGAGTTGGCAGGCGCTTAAGACCCACATTGAAAAAGGTCAATGCCACCAACAGGGAGAGGACAACCCGGAGCCGAGCACCGGCCCTACACAAGCTACAGCCCCCCCTCCGGTAAACCTCACCCCGGCAGCCCAGGCCACCGAGGAGCAGCCACGATTGCCACCGCATCGAAACCTTCAAGTCACGGACTTGATTCGTGACCAAGGGTGGGAAGACCTGGTGAACAGCGAGCATGCAGAGGACTTAAAACAGCACTGCTGCATTTGTGCCAGATGGATGGTTGACACAACGTCCATCAAACGACACATGAGATACTCCCATCCTGAAATTTGGAAGCAGGTCTCGGAGCGGCTCGAAAGCACCTGCTCTGTCTTCAAGCCCCGGC